ATTATCTTCGACCCAAAATTATCGTATATATCAGTCCTTAGCCTGAAGTATTACCACTTACACTGTTCAGAAATTCACAACATCATGTGTTAGATTAAATTTAACGAAAGTTGAAATAATGTTCACTGCTTCGCTAGATTGTACCTATAGGCCAAGTGTCGTTGTTCGATAAATTCGCAAATTTTTTGCGCCTAATATTGATTGTTAAAATATTCAGTCATTCACACGGTACTATACGAAATCTAGGCATCCCCCCTAAGATATCGAAAACTTTCCAATATGTCTTTAACCCTTTCCGACTTGAATTATTTCTTTCAAACAGAAACGAATACGTTTTGCATACAGTTATTTCTTAGATGTCAGAAAAACAGGGAAATTAAAACAAGAAATTAACAAAAAGAATTGTTCATAAATAAAAACGAATATTCATTAAACAATTCCTAGATGTTATTTATACGAATGTATTCATCAAACAACGAAAAACTGAACTATACGATAAAGTTGTAAGAAATGATATTTACTATTTTCTTCGACATTCTGAAAAGTCGCAAATTTTCCAAAATTTTTTTAACACATCATTTAGCAAATTAATCCTTCTAAATTCACAAAGAAACTCAAGTCACTTGGTCCAATTTTGAATGAGTTGTTCTGTTTTAAATGGTGTGCGAATACTTTTTTTACCCACTGTATTTCTTTGGGTGGGCTAAACCCGTAACCGCTCCGGAACCCATAGTTTCCGGCATTCGAAAGGCCCGCCTCTAAACGCGGGAAGGAATTAATTCTCGATGGAGTTAAGTAACGAGTCTGCTCCGGAGGCCGAAGTTAAGTAACCGAGCGGTTGGGGAATGCGGCATTAACCGAACCAGATTATGAAATTTACGATTGATGGACGGTTCGAAAGGTGTTTCGCCGGACGAACGTTTCCTGTATATTCTCGCCTTGAGCCAGGGCCGTTTGTTTGCTCTATGCAATATGTCTCTATGGAGCAGCTAATCCGAAATGCTCACGGTGTGTGTTTATCGTTATTATCAATAAGAGAATCATTATCAACGCTCGAGATACTGGCGTGAGCCAGAGATCATAAAAATTATATTCTGTGGACAGTCTCGTCGGCTCATAGTCTTGTTTACCAGTCAGCTTTTTCGGATTTAGGGCATGCTACCGTTCTCCATTTGCAGACAGGAGCGTAAGTACTCGGTCAGGAACTTCGAAACGAGTCTTTGTACAGTTTATCGCATGATTTTCTCGATTGCAATCGAAATGATATATCTGTGGCTGTTAGGAGAAACGCCGCATATCACAATTTCAAAAAATTTGAGTTTATGCATTAATTGGGCTGTATGAATATAGGATTTATGTATTTATTAGACAAAAATGCATAAAAACAAATTTTATATGTTGAAAACAATAGTGAAATTTAACCAATATTCAATTCATACGTATTAGGCAAAACAACATTGGATACTCTGATGCTTCTTGGGCAAAAAACCAGCGCATTTATGCGGACGTGTACACCTTAACGGTGTTATCAAAAAATCAATTGTGTTTACTTTGTAAAACAACGTGGGTCCACAAAATTAGAAGATAACGATGATTACTCATATCTATCTCGCGTAATCGCTTTTTATTATTTATTTCTATTGATCTGCTTAAACTGTAACTTATTTTGTATAAAACTAAACGGACAAAATTATATTGCATATTATGATTTTGCTAGAAATAGCACACTATTACGTACTAGCGATACATACAGAATTTATCTTGTATTTTATAAGAAACAACGCAATGCACAGAGAAATTATGCAAAATGAAGGAAATACACATTTATATCGTAAAAAGAAAACAAGGAAACATTGCTAATAAAAAGAATTGGAGTTCAGAACTTTAAACAATATCTCGAAAGTGATAAAGTGTGGACATGCAGCGTTTTTTTTTTGACAGCCAAAATATTATTAATACCAGAAATAGTTGTACCATAATATTCTGTCGAATTCGACAATTATCTTCGTTTGTGAAATCAAAGCCTGTACAGCTTAGATAGTTCTGATACTCATTATCAAACATTTACTACTAATGTCCAAATAAGAAACGAGCTGAGCTATACTGTAAATCACAACTGTTACCGGTTTATTCAAAATAACAGCGGATTTTTATCTTTTAGTTTTTACTATGATAAGTATCAGAAACTCGGATGAAAATGGACTCCAGCATTGGCATTCGATGAAATTTAACGTTAGGAGATTGAGATTGAAGTCAAAAAACGTGATAGGCGACGCATTTGATTCCCTCATGCTCAATTACAATAAAATCGAAATGGCTTCTTTGTATTTAGCCTGTGACAATATGTACCGTGCTGCGGAGGAATAAACGCAACTACGACCGAATGACTTTGATGACATTTCTTTCAGATATTTTAGCACCAACGTCACACCTTTGCTAGTCGTAGGAAGTAAAGAGACGCGAAAAGGTGCGGAATGGTAATGAACCCGAGGAAAAGATTCTTGTAAAATCACTGCTCGGAATACATTGCTCCGACAAGGTGGAATAATAATTCGTTCCGCGGGTACCACGAAGAAGACGCTCGTTACATTGATGTTTATTGTTTCGTGTAAACAGAAGCGATACTCGTTATCATTCAGCTATTACTGACTGTTGTCATCATTATACGTGCTTCTGATCTTCCACAAACACGATGAATCGAGGTAGCAAACGTTGATTATTATTCACCACGGGAATAATCACGTTTGCGATAATATTTTCAAATACTGCCGTTCAAATATCTTATTAACATACCGTGCTGCAATACGTGAAACACGGTTATGAACGGGGCAATGGAAATGTGTCTTCGTTAAACTAATTCCAAGGATAACAAGAAGCTTTTATTGGTTATTAACACTTAAAGTTCATTTAGTTTACATAATTTTGATTGAAGACGTAGATATGTATTTCGTTCTGTGTTTTCAGCAGAATTCGATAGAGAGGAGGAAGTATGAGAGGTTTACAAAATGGCCGACTCGTTATACTAACCCGTTATTAATTAAGAAATCATACTGAGTAGGTGTAAAATAACTTCCGCTATCGAGATTGAATAGTTACTAAAGAATAATCCAAATAAAAATAGTCTTTCGAATACCGGAATACTAACATTAATAATCATGAACAATGCATTAACAGTTGATGTTAGTTATGTCTTCTACCGACATAAATTTAAAACAGGATGCTTCAAGTTGTTCGTGACTCAACCTATAATATCACCAACACTACTATATTACAACCAATTTTCACCCGGTCTAATAAATTAATAAAACAAGTTGACAAAATACGGACCAATAAATTATCCAGTCACCCGCACTTCCGGCGACAAGATCTGCTCCAAAAAGTCTCCTCGAAATTCGGAGCAAATCTAAAAAAGAAATAAAAAAAACCACTACAAAGATTACAAAAATCATACATTTCAATATCGTCTCCCAGTATTTGTACAATAGTCGAAAGTTTCAAAATATTGATTGACTCGAGTGTTCGTCGAAATGGCCCCGATAGCTTCTAACCTAACGTCCCAATTAAGATTCGTGTCCTATCGCCCGATTTTCGGTGTCCCGATATTACAACCGAAATAACGGAGAAAGCAAAAGAAAAAAAAAAGGAAAAAGAAAAACAGCCAACAAGAAATTGTATATAAACCTTCGGTTATAATACGCGGGGCAACAATTCACAAGACCGCAAAATCGCGCGTGTTCCCTCTTGTTGTGTAGCTGGTCCGGCGGTGGGGGATGCGCCCGAAGAGACAGTCCCGGCCGAGTGCCTCGACGTGTATAAATACAAGCAGTCGGCTTGGCTCTCGCTTAGTCGCTGCGATACTCGATTCTCGGTGACGGCCTGTCGATTCAAGTGTGCCGCGATCTCGATTTATCGCAACCGAGGCCTGCGTGTCCGCCGCCGCGTATCGCGCCCGCAGTAAAACACGAAACAGCACGCACACGTCCGAAACATAACAGTCGTGCCCGCCCGTTCGCCACGGAGTGTGAGAGAAGAACGGAAGAAAGGAACGAGAGACACACAGAAGAAAAAAGAGGGGAACGCGCCAGAGGAGTGAGAGAAAGTGGCCAGAGCGTGTTTTGGGGTCCCCCCCTGGTTCTTGCAACGGGAAACGCGTTGGATCGCCTCAGTCGTCCCCCCCACGAAAGCGGTGGAGCATCGTGTCCGGTGTCGCGGGATTCGTCGTCGTCGTTGTTTCAAACGGAACCTTTTGGGCGAGTCCGCGACGGATAATCTGTGTTCGTTGTGATGAGAACGGAAGTGTGCTACGCTTGGCCGGCCTGTATGGGCTCGGCTCGATTTTCGTTAACTGTGACTGTGCGACGTTAGGCATCGTCGACGTGAGTTGTTCACCTGCGATCACCATAGGAGAGTCGAGGTAGTAGGTAGGTTCGATACAAGTGAAGGAATTGACAGTGTGTTCGGTAATTGGGCCAGGACCTATTCACGGTGTTTTTTCGTGGACGTAACAAAGGTCGAGTCGGTTGACTGTTTTAAACCGGCTGAGAACGAGTTTCCAGGAAGGGCCCCGCGACCTAGCGCGGAAAATAAAGAAACAAACGGTCGGGCAAAAAAGGCGCCGAGGAGGCTCGGTTGGCCGGTTTCGCGCGATTCCCCTCGGGTCAACGATCTGCACCGTGGATCTCTGCTGCTTCGTTCCGTTCCCTCGGTACGTACTCTCCGCGGGACAAGAGTCCGGTCGATACATACGGTGTACACACAGAGAGGTTCTCTTCCCCCCCCCCCTTTCCTTCGGTGTTCCGTGAAACGATACCGAGCGAGCGAGCACGTTTCACGAGGAGTGAAAAGGCGGTCACTCGGCACGCCGCGCCGTGGCTGCTGCTTTCACCGGCAATGGAATAATGCCGATCGCGCCTTAACGGTACGCAACTCGTACCTTCCGTGTTTCCCTTCGGACGAGCGATCGGGAGAAAAAAATGATCGCAGACCTCGGGTGGATCGCGCGCCAGTGCCAGTGATATCGAGTCGGTTCATCACGACCAGGGTTTATGGTCTTTTCTTTTGTTCAGTGATCCCGGTGTGTGACAACGCGCGCGCGCGCACAAGGTTCTTGCGTACAGTGTTAGGTTAGGTGGTGCTTCTTTTCATCGGTGTGAAATCCGCCTGTTGCGTGTAGCATGGAAACCAAAATGTACATCAGCAACGAAGCTCATAATAATGGTCACGCGGCGACGAAGTACGCGTCCACGAACTCGATACCCTCGATGATGGAGGAGGAGTCGTCGTTCGCGAAACTGATCGGCCGTAGGGACTCAAACGCAATTTTACGCGACAACAAGGGGAGGAGGCACAGCGTGCTGGAAGACCTAAAGGCGCGTAGGGACAGTCTCTTCCAGCGAGCACGACGCGGCAGCGTCGTCGAGGAGAAGGAAAACGCCAAACTGGTACAGAAGGAAAAAAGACGTAGCAGCGACGGCGGTAGACGGGGCTCCGTTTTCTACGTGTCGCAGGATTTGCTAGAAGAGAATCAGGATGTGCTCGAGAACGAGCGTATGCAGGATCTCGAGGCGAAGAAAGGACGACGGAAATCGTGGCATCCGCTCGCGAAACCGCCGAAACTCGATCGTAAACGAAGGAAAGGTATCGCCGGTGTGCCAACGCAAGTTGGCAGCACGGACGGACTGTACACACAGGCCAGACAGAAGAGACCGTCATGGTGGAATATATTCGTTCCTGACTCCGTTAGCAGGTATTTATCTTTCGTTTACGTACCTACTTTCCATAAAAAAGACATGCTAACCGATGAGAGATGGGAAAAGAGAGAGAGTATTTGATTGGAGAAACTGAACGTTTGTAGTAATTATTCGCGTAGTAAATCCAAGTAATGTGCCATGACGATGGTTTCGTTAATGGCGGAAGGAGTAGAGTAAAAGAGTTATCTCACTATGACAGTTATTGAAACGCAGAAAGAAATTACGACATTGCAAACGCCTAATTGAAATTTGCAGTTGTACGAGCAAAAAGATTGCTCCTAGATAGCAAACGTTATCTTTTCGAGAAACTCGAACGGAATAATATACACAGTCTTGCGTCTTGTGGCGTGAATAGGACCAGTTTGTCAAGCGTCTACCTTACAACCACACTATATGTATCGTTTTCAACCGCTATACATGGTGGGGACAGGCTCTCACTACAACCTGGCGACGGGTGATTCTTCGTGATAAAATATAAATTCTTTTCGTTCAGTTTTCTTTTTCAGAAAAACGAATTTGAAATTAGAGATATTTAGGCTTTCACGACCTACAGTTGTTATCTTATTATTGTCAATTTTCGGCTGTAAACCGTGTCCCCTTGGAAAAATTATCCGAACGTCGTAAGCATTGCTATTGGCTACATTAGAGGTCGAATGACACAGTCACATGAATTTGAAAGTTTATCGAACACGTACGTACTCGTTCTCATTGTAAGTAGACACGATAGGTAATGAACAGATACATTCGCCGAGTTTTTTTTATTATTCAATGTCGTGTGTGCTCGACAGATTCCCCAAATGGTTCTCAGAAACGTGTAGCTCAACGCGTAAAAATTGTATTCCAATCTTCTTTTGACTTATTTCTTCATGAAAAAATAATCATCCCATACGACACGACTGTAGACCAAATTATATCAATGTACCTTTGTTATAGTGTGTCACAGTCTTGTAACGGTTCTTCGAATTTCTTTTACGTTTGACCAGTGTCTCGATACTCGCGAATAAGCGTATACTCCGGGTATAGAGTGTCCTCAGGTGATATTCGACCAGTTAACAGAATTCCGTCGATCCGTTATTGAAACTTGAATTTCACGTTCGATACGTTCCAGGTCACGTTGCATGATTGCTTTGTTTTTACCTAACGGGATCCCGTTTAGGACAGCGTGGTGTGTATACTCGTGAAACAGAATTGGCAGAAAGTTCGTTTGGTATCTATGGATTTCGAAATGGACGGATTCTCGTGGTTATTCTTCTCGACTCGAGAGACAGTGGTTTTGTTTACGGTACGGGGCGAACTTGTCAAGTGAATAATTCGAAACCTAGCCGCGATGTGGCGCGTCAGTGGCTCCTTTCTTACCTTCAATTAGGATTGTTTATTGAAGTTGGTAACCCTAGTAGAAATACTGCCACTGGAAGATCGTATCTCGATTGAACGTTGACACTGTTGAAGCAAGGTTCATTCTCGTATTATACGATATATAACTCGTATATACAAATATTTTCACCTGGCCATAACTCTTTTTTTTTTTACTAAGACTAACGGAATCAACGGATTCCTCAGGCAATGCTACCAACCGTGAGCCAGTCCCTCCTTCAGCGCGCGAAATCGGAGTCGCGTTCCTACACTTTATCAACACGAAAAGGAGCGTCGCCTTTGTTGTTGCCCTGTTCTGTTATGTCACGCGCCGTCGACAAACGATTACGGTTACGGAGGGGAGGGGGTGTTTGATTTAAGGAAGACAAAAAAATTACTCGCGCGCGAGAGGCAAGTGCACGGTGCAAATATTTAGATGACTCGACGAGGTTGAAGTCATAATCTAGAGTAATTGTGACAGTTTCCAAACAGTCGCAGTTAACGCGCGCAGATAAGTCAGTCGATGGATGTTCGCGAGTGTCCACGTGTTTTTAGATGTTAATTTCGAGAGAAGCCGGAACCGAAAGATTTCCGTTCGATTTATTCGAGGAAAAACATTAAATTGCGTAGAGAATCACGCGCGGATAAATTTTCTAGAAACTTGTGTCCGCAACACACGAGCTTGAATTCCATTTAATTATCAATTATCGCGTTGTCCTAGCAATATTTTTATTTATTAACGCATAATATATTCAATCCAAGCGCTTTTAACACATTCAGGCCGATAACGAATTTTCCATAACGCTCGATGTTGACGTGTGAATTTATTATTATTAAGCAACGCGATATTACCGAGACAATTTCGTTAACGTCAATACCTATTTCATCTGTATTTAGTTTTTCGATCAATATGTACACTGCCGCTCCTAAGTATTAGGAAACACAGTCTGTATAAAGAAAATGTGATGTTTCGTGAAAATGATAAATTTTAAGCTATTTTTATCATTTTATAGTAGCATAAGCCTTGCCTATCAAGCTTTAATATCCCCTAAACAATATTTATTTGAGACTCTCAGCAATTTCGTAATACCTTATAAGATTTACTGTATATTCGATAAGTGTCCTAATATTTATGAACGGGAGTGTACCTGTAGTTTTTTTTTCGTGGGACAAGAAAATAATTTTAACCTAATTAAATTAAAAGTCACTATACATTCCAAGAAAAAGTACCCCTATAATTTCACTAATTTTGAAAATCCAAGAAATTTGACAATTTGTGCTTTGTACAGCGTCGATTTACCGTGCATTCTGAAAAGAAAATACTCTATAGAATCTTATTTACAATTTATTACAAAATTCCATTACTGAATCCGTCTTCGTTATCTTCCTCACGTTTCTACATTATACAGAGATCCATAATTCATGGTCAAACGATAACATGCCTGCGCCTGGTGTAAGTATAACGATCCTTCGGACGAAATTCTGTCGGACTGTTTACGTTACGTAGTCAGGTGAAAATGATACCTTACGATAAAAGAAAAAGAAGAACAAAAATAAAACGAAACGACAGGTACGTACGTCTTTATGTGTCCTCGCGTGTAAATGGTGATGTCACGTTAGATAACCGAAGCTCTATTTGTATCGTGTTCGCCGGGTGAACATTCCGAATATTTTCACTCGGAAAAGTAAAAGCACTTTCTTCCTGTTATCGACGAATCTCTCTCGGTTGGAGAAGCGCCTCGCGGTTTACCGGAAGTGGCGGCTTCCTCCCTGATCTACGACATGTTATCGATCTTCCGTTGCGTCCCTGACTCCTTCGAACAGAAGGAAAGTGTTCGTGAGATCGTTAGATCGAACCCCGTGATTTCTCCGAGCGTGTTTCTGCTCGCGGAAGCTGCTGGCTCGCGAGCGTGTCGACTTCCGTTCACCATTTCGTCCCGAGACGAAGAACGACCCGAATCGAATGTATTTGTTCGCGAAAGGTAAATAATCACTAATTAAAGCTGACGTATATATACGTCTTGAGTGATTAAACTGTTCATTTGCAGATGACCGTATATGTAACATTTCCGGAATTGAAACTTTCATTCGAAAATATCCGTCTTTGTAAGGCATTCGTTTATTCAGTATCGACGTATATATTCGTCCCGAGAAAGCAATCTTTCAGCCGCTAGCTGCCGGAAGATTCGGAAATCTGTTACGTTGCTTATGCTTTCACTGCGTAAGCACAGAATATTAGTGTACAGAACGTACGTTTGTCTATTTATCCAACAGTTAAACTATGATCGTCGATTATTCCTTCCTAGAACAACTGTCAATATTGACATCGTGTTCCATGGTTATCGACATCACCTGATACCGACGTTTCGATCAGTCTTATCACCATAACAAGAGTAACCTTCGCGGTGCGATTACTCGGCTGTTTTGTTGACGAACTAAAAACATTAGTTTCTTTTTTTTACTTTGCCGTTACGGGCTTCTTGCTTGCTTCGGCAACAAAAACAGTGTACTGTCATAGAATTTCATAACAAAATCGGGTTAGCTCATTTCAAAATTATTTATTTGTCTGCATTGTAAATACAGATACTGACTTTATGCATTCGTAGCAAAATACAATTGATCGATACATCGTAAAACAAGAATTATTTAACTTTTATCTTTCTTTTCACTTGACACAACTGTTCAAAGAAGTAGGAAGTTCTTGCCTAATTCCGGTTTTTATTTATTCGTCTATGAAAGAGTGAATTTTTCATAAAAATCCGTTTTAGTGTATAAATATCTTAGATAGCAATTCTTTAGCACTTTAATGTCGACCGATTATATTGGAATTTCAGTTTCAATTATCGAATACTATAAAGATGATATTTTATCAAAACCTAATTGTTTCTGGCCTGTAACTCACTTTTCGTTTTGACCTGTCGAACAAGGTTCTTTGTAAAAATTGGAAACTGAATCCGATTGATTCGAATATTTCGCTCGTTTTAAGTTCTAGAATAGGCATTTTGATATCAGTAACTAGTGACAAACAACTTCCTAATTTTCCTTCGAATTAAAATTGACAAAAGAAAATATTCCATTCTGTTGCACATAATTCACTTCGTCAATTCTCGACTGTAATTTGTGTCGGTGGGACTGACTAATCAATTAACAAAATCTCAGCTAACTTCGAATGCTCACCAATAAGTGAAGTGTTACCAAGAAACCAAATCTTGCGTCAATAAAACACAAGATCACTGTCCGATGTTTTATCAGCTTTTGGAGTGTTATGGAGTTTTGCTACTTGAGAGCTTGAAAAATTGTCATTTTTCTGGGAATTGTTTTCTGAACAAAAATTCTCAAAAAAATGAGAATTCTTCAGGGCTTTACAGTAGCAAGACTCCTTAATATGACAGGAAATATTAGGTTACGAGTTTCCAAAAATTCAGTCTCGAAGTGATCCGGTCCCTCTGCAACGATCAAGGTGAACGTTGGTTAGGCGACCAAAAGAATTGCAGCTCTTTTTGTCTTGGAGGAACGTATTGTTCCCCGACAGCAAAAAAAAAAAGGATATCTCCGCCTCGGTGACCAGGCTACGCTTTTTTCCGCTGACGAAGGAAAATTTACCGAGAAAATTGGGTCGATCCCGGAACGCACGTCCGCAAAT